GTTTTCCTTTTTTCCAAGGAATCTTTCTGAGCCACACTTTTAAACACAGAAATATTTAATAGTAATTTCTCAGTAACAGAGCAAAATATTTAGAACTCAATAGGAAGAAAAGGGAAGTGGTTCTTATCTGAATTCAAAATTTAATAGGAAAAATGACTCCATTTAATCCATGTCCTTGAATCTTCCTCAAAACTAATCCTACTGTCAATTTATTTTTCATTCAGCTCATCCTCTTAAATATTTAAGCCTTTGTCACTCAAAAATTCAAAGGAAGATGATGTATGCCAAGAGTTCTTTCTCTAAGTTTTTTTTTACATTCTTAATTATAACGAAACTGTAAGGTGGGAGAGGAACTGATTTTGGAGATTAATTTGAATAATAAGAAAATTGGGCAAGGTCCTAATTATCATTTTCTCTCAGTTATTTTGTTCTTGATAAATATATTTAAATTATGTTGTTACAAAATATATGTGAAAACTAAATAAATTCTATTCTTGTTTAAGGATTTACATAGGAAGCAGAGTGTATGAGGTTGAGGACAAAAACCTGAGAATCTAACAACCTGTTCCATCATTACCAGATAATCTTGACTGTTTGCATGTCTCTGGCATGAATGTAAAGATTGAGCTGAACACATTCCCAGGATCTCCAGCCTTTAAGTCTCAGGAGCATTGTGTACACCCTAGAAAAATGTGACGGTTTTTCTCTTTTTAATTTCATTATATGGCTTCCCATATTTATGCACTGGTTTTGTTTCATTTGAGCTACTAGGAGTGCGAATCCTCAAAATGCCTACTATACAGTCTTAATTTCAAATTCTAGATCTTAGCATCAGTTTCTATAGCCTAAACATGAGAGAAGGAAACAAAATTGATTGCATGCCTGTTGTGTGCCAGGAGCTGTGCTAGACTATGCATCTTTCGTCTTAACCCTTAAACAACAGACCTGTGAGGTAGGTGAGTAGTCTCATTTCACAGATGAGAAAGCAGACTCTGAGTGTAAGTACCTAGTCCAAGGTCACAGAGCAGTTAAACAGTACAGTTGGGATTAAAAACTCAGTATTATTGACTCTAAAGCATATTCATAAATTTTTATGAATATCGATAAATGGAATGGATCAACAAATTATTAATATACTGCTACATTTTATAAGTTCATAAAATTTAAGGATAGCATGTTTTATGTACAAATAAAATATTACACGGGAATGGTGAATGAAAAGTAATGGTAAAACTTATTTTACTTAAATGTGAGAGTTGTCTTTTTTTTAAGCTAAAGAATTTAAGACTTCTTGAATATTTATCAAAATTAATGAAGTGGAGCAGAGCTGTTACCCTCTCATGTTGACTTAAATTGGTTGACTTCCTCTGCATTGCACATTTTGTCTAAAAGAGAAAAGAGCACAAAGATTAATGCACATATGTTTTATGTTGTTAAAGTTTCAAAAGTGATAAAACTGTTTTCACAATGGATTAGAAATATTTTCCTTCTTCTGGAAAAAAGTCATGAACTACATAAATATAAAAATCAAAAGTGGCTGTAAATGATGAATGCTACACTTTCTCTGAAAAGTTATTTTTTTCTGATGGGAGAAAAAAATCAGAAAACTGATCTTTTTGCTTTGTATAAACTTAAATGAAAATAGTTTCTGGACTTCCTTTCAAATTAATATTCAGCACACAAATTACTGAGCACTTACTATTGTATCTAAGGCAATATGCTAGTTGCTGGAGATACTAAAATTTATAAGACATAGCTTTGACCATCAAGGACATTACAAAGACTAGTTGTATTTTTTGGTCTAGCATGTTGCGTAGTTATAAATACAACCTGAAGTTATCTAATAGCATCAAACAGTTCGGCTAGTAAATACAAGAGTTGAGGCAATGTCAGAGCATACGTACTAATTAAATGGTCTCCCCTTATTACCATACTCTAATTACATTAAATGGTATCAGAAGTATAGTTAATTTTCACTTCAAAAGCCATTGTATTCTTTTATTTGTATAATTAAACTACAAGAGCTGTAATACATTCAGACAGAGCTTGTACAGGATTACTTAAATGATAGCATTTTGCTTTGGGACAAACAAATAAAACATTTCCAGAAAATGCAAGTAATGTGTTAATTAGGCAATGTTCACAAATTGTGAAAATGCTCATTTATATCATTACTAAGATTGTATTTCATTTGCCTATTTATTTTTTATCAAGTATACCATCTTAATATTCTTGGCCTTACATTTTTATAGTAGAGTAAAAGATTGTGCCAACTAGCACACTTTTAAATCAGATTTTACAGTCCAAATTTTCCCTGATAATCTAAGGCTAATTTATTGTCATCAGGGAATGGTGTATATAGTGATGCTGATTGGTATTGAAACTCCTAAATAATATGGCACTAAGTATATGTCCACACATACAAAGATATACATGAAATATTCCCAAATAAAAACTGTACTCATATTTTATCCATGATTTTAGTTTTCATGTTTCTTAGACTTTTCAGTTGAAGTCTACTGAAGGGATAAATAGGGTGTAAGTCTAAGGAATCCTTTCAGTATTAGGTGTGTTAAAATTAATGGGAAAGTCAGGTCTTTCAAGGGAAGTTCGGTCAGTTGGAAATGCAGGAATGGGGTTCAAGGAAGAGATATAAAGTAGAAGAGACCAGAAAGGAAGACCAGAGCTCTGAGGGATGAGATAATCCATGCGCTGTGTAGGCCTTGTTGAAAAGCTAAGAGGAGAAGTTAATTACTCAGTGTCAATTAAGCTGTGGAGACTAAGTCCTTAAGGTAAGGGATGAGGATGATCCCCAGTGTAGCAGAAGTGAAGAACAAAGATAACATGGAAAGAGTCACTGGGTTATGGAAAAAGAGGGGTCGAGGCTAGGGTAATTAAGGCAGGATTGAGTAGGGGGAAATGAAAACTTTTAGTGCTTATTACATATCAAATAATTTGATAAATTATAAATAATTAAATACGATAGTAGATTTGACAGCAAGGTCAGATGAAGTTTTGTTTGTGTTAGTGTGCTTTTTTTTTCTATAAGATGTTTATATGATAGAAGGACACTCACTTATTCATTATGTCAAAGAGCATATATTTATGGAACAGATTCTTTGTAAAATAAAACATTATTTAAGCTACGTTAGGGCTAAAAGAAAATAATAAAGAATAAGAAGCTTTCAACTTAACATAGGAAAAATGAGGATTATTGGGGTCAAGAATTGATGGGACCATGGCCACAGATAAAGAAATGAGACTACTTACAGGGAATCTGAGAACCAATGACTCAGGAAGTTAAAGAGTTCTAGTCTCTAGGCTCACATAAGATCTTTTGTAACAGTGTATTTGTGTTACTTTCATAGTTGTGGATACAGTGAGAAATAACTATATAGGAAATATCCCTTGCCCTTAAGGAAGTGTTGGAAAACTCACTCACACACAGTGTTCTCAAGCCAGTGTGTATTTGTGTGAACCAATAGCTCTACAAAAGCAGGAGAGATCATGTCTGCTTAGGGAGACCAGGTAGGGTATGAGGAAAGGTTTGACATGGGCTTGGCCTTAGGAATGGGAAGTACTCCAACAGTAGTAAACTAGGGGAGGAGCAAAAGCCCAGGAGTGTATAGTGCTTAGCAAACCATAAGTTGAATAGAAAACTAGAAGCATAGATTTTGCTTAGAGGATTGCAGAGGGCCTTGAGTACCTAGAAAAGGGTTGATGCTTTATAGGGCAGGCAGTACTGAGCAGGGGAAAGCAGAATCAAAGAGCTGCTTAGGAAGATTTCTCTCACCACAGGTCTTAATAGAGAAGGGGAAAAAAAAGAATTCGTGGTAAAGTGTTATCACCTGAAATTGTATACTCTCAAAATGCACCTCAGATTGTGTACTCTGAAAATGAAACCTCAAAAGTACGCTGATTTTTCTGAGGTGAAATGTTCATAAGAAATTATGAGTATTTGCAAGGACAATTGAGGAGAAGTAAAACTACTTGTATTAATAAGTGACTTCCTAATGAGAATAGAAATATAAGTAGGAAGTGCTTTGTGGGAAAGACCATAGGAAATGAAAATAAAATGATGGTTCTTACTTGCTAATTAGGACAGAATGGCACCTTCAGAAAAATCACAGTGGTTAGTATTACTGTTCTCTCCGGGAGGATGGACTCTTTTGTTCATCTCGTCCAACTGAGGAATTGTGTATTCTTCCTTTGAATTTGACTAATTAAATGTAAGAATAATTTTAAAAAGAGAAAAATGTAGAAATGGTTTACCAGGAGCACTCTAATAATGAAAATCATTGCCAAGTTATTTAGTAATATTCTTATATTTTTCAACACCTCTTCACGTTTGGCAATTTCCTTTGCAACCTTGGAAGTAATGGGTAAGAATAATCTCCTTGGCTGGGAAGTAACTGATCCAAATTGAATGAAAATCTTGAACTCTGGCATATTTAAGATGCTCATTATGACTGCATATAAAAAAGCTGTTACTGGCATGTGAAATCTTTAGAACCAAGTAGTGATTGAACCTCAAAGGTTTATTTTTAAAGAAGACTCCTTATTTTTCATAATTCTTAGGTTTTTTAGAATATATCCAGGAATGAAGCATTATGGAAATTTATCAATTCTTAAACTTAGCAAATTCAGTTAGTAGCATTTTTTTTTTTTTTTGCGGTACGCGCACCTCTCACTGCTGTGGCCTCTCCTGTTGCGGAGCACAGGCTCCGGACGCGCAGGCTCAGCGGCCATGGCTCACGGGCCCAGCTGCTCCGTGGCATGTGGGATCTCCCCGGACCGGGGCACGAACCCGTGTTCCCTGCATCAGCAGGCGGACTCTCAACCACTGCGCCACCAGGGAAGCCCAGTAGCATTTTTTTATGCCTCAAGAGAATATCAAAATCCAGGCTCCAAGATTTGGACTCTTTTCTTCTAATGTGGATACATGTATGAATTTTCTAGGACTGCTGTAACAAGGTACCACAAAGTACCACAAACTTAGTAGTTTAAGAACAACGTAAATTTATTGTCTCACAGTTCTAGAGGCTGAAAGTCTAAGATCAACGTGTTGGTAGAGTTGGTTCCTTCTGAGGGCTGTGAGTGAAAATCTCCACCATGCCTCTTATCTACCTTCTGATGATTTGATGGCAATCTTTGGCATTATTAGCTTATAGTAGCATAACCTTGATCTCTGTCTTCATCTTCACATGGCATTTTCCCTGTGTATGTGTCATTGGTGTCTACATTTCCTCTTTTAATAAGGATACCAGTCATATTGGATTAGGGCACATCCTACTCAGTATAACCTAATCTTAACTAATTACATGCGTAATGACCCTATTTCCAAATAAGATCACTTTCTGAGGTACTGGAATTTAAGACTTCTACATGTGGATTCACCTTGTAACATAATTCAGTCCATAACAATATGTAAGTAAAAAATGGATGTGGACATTGTTGAGAGTCATCCTGTAGATCATCTACTCATTTGAGATCTTCTATCTCATATAGTGAAACAGAGAAATTAAAGATTCAGAGGCAACTTTTATCAGAAGAGGGATGTTTTCTGTATGTACCCAAGGTCTCCCATTGGGAATCATCTCCTCGCTGGCTGCCCTAACATCAACCCTTACCTCAGCCTCAGTTCTCTAGCATACTCTTTCCCTGAGTCACCTGGGAAAAATATCACTTTTATATTACCCTCTCCTCAATAAATTTTGGTGGCTCCCTGCTAACTGCATAGTAAAGTCCAAGCTCTCAGATATTCCCTTTAGAGTCTTCCACCCACCAAAGCATACCTGTCATCTTACTCCTCTCAGTTTTCACACGTACAAATCCAGTGTTCCAGCCAAACTCAACTTCTCATCATTTTCCGAGCAAACCAAAACATTTTAAAATTTCTGCACCTTTGTTTATTATGACTATTTTTGAAAGCTCTTTCTTTTACTCATCCTGTAAGCCTGGCTGAAGTTGCACATCCTTCACGACAGAGTCACTATGCGCATGAGGTGTCTGCCTCTCATTCCTGTAGCATGCATGATCTGTGAGTCATTTTGAACTAATTTTTGTTTGTATTGTATTTTTCCTTTACATATTTATGTCTTATATGTCTTACCTCCCCACCTGGCTTGTAAACATCTTGGGAGCAACTATATTCTATTTTGTTATTCATAGAGCAATATAGGTTATCAAACATTATTGACACAGTTAGGACTGATTTATTGTGCATTTTCTTACCAGTGAGGTACACAGTGGCTGTTTTATTGTTTCCCTTGATTTGTTGTGCACCTACAGTTAGTTGCAAAAATCCTAGTTCACAGAGTTCCACATTGTCTCATGTAGAGTTGGGAGTCAAGGGGTTTGGGTCCATCCTGTTGAACTAGTTCATTTAGTCCTCATAGCTTTAGTTACCTTATCTATAAAACAAGGAAATAATGCCAATTTAGTTCTAAAGTTACTGTCAGATCTAAAATTCTATAATTTAATAGTTTATATATTATATCATTCACATTGAAATCTCTATATAAAGCTAATTGGACACTGGAAGCTTTTATACAGATACATAGATTGATAGATTGATGAGCCTTGTATTGCTGATTTAGTTCTTTTTTTCTGTCAATGCTGACTGACAGTTTAGTGATCCTCAATTATTTGTTTGATTTTATAATTCTGGCTATATTGAAAATAGTCTTGAAGTGACCTATTGAAAATAAAAAACAATTAAAAGGTAATTTGGAGGTAATTTCTGTGATGATATGTAAGGAATTACTAACAGTCATTAGCCACAGAGAGCAGGGTTGGGGAAATGAGGGGAAGTGGACTTTTTCACTTTAATCAGATTTTAACAGTACACATTAACTTCACAATTAAAAAGAAGAATAATTAGGCAGTTTGAAGGCCAATGCTATTTTTTAGGGATGGAATATCAGGCTGGCAAAAATCAGGAATAAGAAAGTAAAAATGCCTCCTCCCTCCTTCTTAAGAGTTCTTGGAAGCAAGATGTCTGTGGAGTACAACAATAGATTTGTTAGTGTCCTATCATATCACAATATTCAAAGTGTTTCTTCATGATCCTTAGTAAAGAGACTAGTGTTTTGAAATTGAAGGGAAAGTAAAACAAGAAACCCAAGATTAGCAAAACAGTATGTGATACTTGGTACCTGAGTTGACTTAATTACCACAAGTAGATGAGCACTGAATATGACTCTAGATTCCCTGGAAACTTAGACCAAAAAGAACTATCTTGGGCTCTATCCTTTTAAATGTGTGATAGAAAAAAAGCACGTAGGTAAATCTATGGAAGAAAACTGTCCTTGTATTGACTGAGAGAGAAAATCTATTTTCTTTTATAAGGGATATTAGGGCACAGAATAAATCACATCTTTATCTACAATTTTGTAATAGATATACTTCGTTTCAATGGACATTTCTTTTATGGAGGCTCTAGTAGTGCTGAGAGCATAATACTGCATCTTAACACAGGAGGGGTTTTCTTGCATAGAACAGAAAACAAGGCCCAGGACCTTTGCTTTCTGCTGATGTAACTTTTGAAGTTGGAAGAATTAAAATTTCTGGCTCATTAATGTATCAATCAGATTGCCTTGCAACTTCCTTAAATATGTCATTATGAGATGAGTAAGCCACGTGAGATTAGGAGAGGGAAGAACCTCTTAGTTAGGTATGCCCTCTGTGTGGAGTTCCCACTGGGAATCAGTCTCTATTGCAGTAGGAATGTATCAGAAAGGCAGAGGACATATCCAGAAAGGGTGGCTTCACTAATTAGGTAATAGAAGCAAGAGGGGCTGGACCTGAGGAGCAGAACTATGGTCCCCAGCACCAGGATAGCAAGTGTTTGGATGTAAGAAGTTATCGAGTCCTCTTTTCTGCAGCAAGATAATTCAGGGTTCCCAGCACCTTGCCTGTATATTGGGGAAGAAGTTAAGGCAGCCCTTGGAAGTTCACATCAGTTCTAGCTGTTGAAAATTCAACTGAACAGTGTAATCCATTAGAACTATAACCTGCTAGAAATTCAGTTTTGGGCCTTAACCAGTCCAGGTTTAATCGTACCATCATATAAGGGAGTTCCCCATCCTGGTCCTCATGAACTAGCCTCTTCTGGCCACCACAGTATCCTTAGCCAGGAGTGATGATTTTAATGACTCATCGCCTTTCCAAGGTAGGGGTATTTCCATAAACAGGAATATGCTCACCTCCTTTTCTTTTTGTTGATGATGGGCTGCTTATACCAGCTTCTGAAGGCCAATGTAGGAATTAAATACTTCTTCACTTGTATTCTTCCATTATCTTGTCCAACAAATACTCAGTTCAAGAGATCTCACATCTTGCTTAAAAGTTACAGGCTTTTTTTTTTTTTTTTAACATTCATGTTTCATTATTTCTACCAAAGTCAATGTACAGAATGAAGGAAACTGACATTTATTAATGTCTCGTCTCTTGCTCTATATTATTTTAGGCATTTCTTGGCTCAGTGCTTACAATGTAAGTGCTGTGTACCCAAATTTACTTTCATGTAACCCTAGACTTAAGGATCTTTCCACTAGAGTCCTGTGTTGTCAGATGCAGGCAAATTGTCAAGTTCACTGGATATGTCTGGTAAATAGTATTTATAATAGGTTTGAGTTAATACTGGTTCAGTAGGTTTTGATTTCCCAAGGATGACGCTATGCAAGAGCTCCCTTAATGTACAAAATACCTTAGGTAAATGGCCATCCCAGGGATTCAGGCTTGGATCAGAATTTAAGGTAAATGAATAAAGATACTGAGTTGTAATGCCTGGAAAGCAGTTCTGGACATTTACACACACACACACAAACACAAACACTTCTCTACCTCCCCCCATCATACACACACTTAATAGGAAATTAGGCACACAAAGCCTTGTCTAGGAAAATTTAATCCTTTCAATAGCTAAATAATAAAAAAGGAACTGGCAGACGATTGGTACACAAATATTACTAGGGAAAAAAAATTTCGCACCAAGCTGGCGGGTAATCCCCATGTCGGTGTTATGTGCTAGCTCGGAAGTGTTTTCTGCCGCTGTCATGGTTCGTTCGCTAAAACTGCATCGTCGCTGTGTCCCAGAACATGGGCATCGGCAAGAATGGGGACCTGCCCTGGCCCCCGCTCAGGAATGAATACAGGTATTTCCAAAGAATGACCACAACCTCTTCAGTAGAAGGTAAACAGAATTTGGTGATTATGGGTAGGAAAACCTGGTTCTCCTTTCCAGAGAAGAATCGACCTTTAAAGAACAGAATTAATATAGTTCTCAGTAGAGAACTCAAGGAACCTCCACAGGGAGTGCGTTTTCTTGCCAAAAGTCTGGATGATACCTTAAAACTCACTGAGCAACCAGAATTAACAAAGTGGACATGGTTTGGATAGTGGGAGGCAGTTCTGTTTACAAGGAAGCCAGGAGCAAGCCAGGCCATCTTAGTCTATTTGTGACAAGGATCATGCAGGAATTTGAAGGTGACACAACTTTTCCAGAAATTGATTTGGAAAAATATAAATTCCTCCCAGAATATCCAGGGGTTCCTTCTGATGTCCAGGAGGAGAAAGGCGTTAAGCACAAATTTGAAGTATATGAAAAGAGCAATTAATGTGAAAACGTTTTCTGATCTATTTCAAACCTCCTTCTCCCCTCCCAAAAAAAATTATCTATTTTTTCTTGTAGAGACTTTTGTTGACTTTAGATCTGTGTATAATTATTTCTAAACAAAGTACTCTTATTCCACATCAATCTTAACTAGACTGTGTCAGATACCATTTGTGAAGCATTTCTTGCTGTAACTGCCTGAATGCCCATCAAGGGTCAAGAATAGGTTACCAGCACCCGCCTAGGATAGAATATCTACCAAGACAGCCCAAAGTGGGAGAGTCCCCTGGTAGCATGAGTTGAAACCAAAGCCTGTAGAGCTAGCTAGGAGCTAGGCAGTTGGATCCACAGGTCAGAAATGGATTATAAACAGAAGAGCTAGCATTCAGTTATTAAAGTTAGGTCAAAAGAGGGACTGTGAATTACCTTATATATCACACTTCTGGAAAAAATTTTGTTCACTTAGACTGGGAATGAATAAGTTGAAAACTCCAGGATATTCCACAGGGATAGTAAAGAGGCAGGTATGAGACTACCTTTTTGGTGGTTAAAGGAGGTGGTCTGAGACCTTAAAAGACTTTGTTTCTGATCTTCAGTGAGATCCCATGGGATGTTACAATGACAAAAAAAGAATTGGCTGCTCTTTACAAAAAAGAATAATCTAATATCAAGCATGATGGCTAAAATTAAAAATTCAAAGAGGTAATAAATTGAGAATGAATATGCTAGAAACCAAAATTAGTAAGTTAGAAACTAAACTTCACAAAATTAAAAAATGAAAATTAAAACATTTTACCCATCACATTAGCAAAGATTTAGATTAAGTATCCCCCCCAATAAGTATCCCCCCCAATATGCCTTATAAATTGGTACAACTTTTTAGAGTGTAAGTTAGCAATATCAATTAAAATTCAAAATATTCTGGGTTTGGACCCAGAACTTCCACTTCTAGAAATTAATCCTGAGCAAAGAAATGGACCCAAGAGTATTTGTTGCAACTTTTTTTTTTTCAAACTTGAAAACAGCCCAAATGTTGATTAATAAGAAATAATTAACCAATATGTCTGTAAAATGTAACATCTGCAGCAGTTAGAAAGAATGAAGTACTGACAGAAAAATGCCAAAAATTACTACGTAAAAGAAGCAAATTGTTTATAATACTCAAAATGTTTAATAAATGTTCATGTGTGGGAAAAAGAAAAAGACAAAAATATTACTAGGAAAAAATATAAAAGAGAGCAACAAATTTGTCAACAGATGAAGAGCACTTATTATAAAGTATAGTAATGGAGAACATATATGAAAGTTGTGACCTGACATTTTATTACGCATTTAAAATTTTGATATGGTGGTTTCTAACACAGTGTTGAAGGAGAATAGCAAAGTTGAGGGCCTGATATTACCCAACTTCAAAATCTACTATAAAGCTATAGTAATCAAGACAGTGTGGGATTGGCAAAAAAAAAAAAATAGACAAATAGATAAATGGAACAGAATAGAGAGCCCAGAAATAGACCTCCATAAATATTTTCAACTGATCTTTGACATAAAGCAAAGGCAGTACAATGTAGGAGAGATAGCTCTTCAACAGCTGGTGATAGAACAACTGGACATCTGTATGCAAAAAAATGAATCTGGGTGTAGAGCTTACAGTCTTCACAAGTATTAACTCAAAATGGATCAATGACCTAAATTTAAATACAAAACTATAAAACTCCTAGAAGATAAGACAGGAGAAAACCTAAATTACCTTGGGATGATGATGCCTTTTTATTTTTAATTTTTTTTAATTTTTTTTTTTTTTTGCGGTATGCGGGCCTCTCATTGTTGTGGCCTCTCCCATTGCGGAGCACAGTCTCCGGATGCACAGGCTCAGCGGCCATGGCTCACGGGCCCAGCCACTCCGCGGCATGTGGGATCTTCCCGTACCGGGGCACGAACCCACGTCCCCTGCATCGGCAGGCAGACTCCCAACCACTGTGCCACCAGGGAAGCCCGATGCCTTTTTAGATACAACACCAAAGCACAATCTAGGAAAGAAATAATGGATAATTCAGACTTTATTAAAATTAAAAACTCCTCTATGAAATACAATATCAAGAGAATTAGAAGACAAGCCTCAGGCTGGGAGAAAATATATGAATAAGATACATCTGTAAAGGATTCTTACCCAAAATATACAGAGAACCCTCAAAACCCTCAAAACAGTAAGAAAATAAACAACCCGGTTTAATAATGGACCAAAGACCTTAACAGAATCTAACAGAAGTAGATATACAGATGGCAAATAAGCATATGAAAAGATGCTCCACATCATATGTCATCAGGAAATACAAATTAAAATAACAATGAGATATCCCTACATACCCATTAGAATAGTCAAATTCTGGAACACTACCACCAAATGCTGGTGGGGATGTGGAAAAACAGCAACTCTCATCCACTGCTCTGGGAATGAAAAATGGTGTAGCCTCATTGGAAGACAGTTTTTGGTTTTTCTCACAAAACTAAACATACTTTTACAGTTGGATCCAGCAACCTCAGTCCTTCATATTTAGCCAAAGGAGTTGAAAACATGTTTGCAATAAAACTTGCACATGGATGTTTATAGAAGGTTTATTCATAATTCCCCAAACTTGGAAACAACCATGATGTCCTTCAGTAGGTGAATGGCTAAATAAAGTATGGTAAAGCTAGAGAATGAAATATTATTCATTGCTAAAAAATGAGCTATAAAAGCATGAAAATACATGGAGGAACCTTAAATGCTTAAATGCATATAATTAAGTGAAGCCAATCTGAAAAGACTACATACTGTATGATTGCAACTCCATGACATTCTGGAAAAAGCAAAACTTTGCAGACTATAAGAAGATCAGTGGTTGCCAGGGCTTAGGATGGAGGGAGGGATGAATAAGCAGAGCGCAGAGGATTTTTTTTTTTTTTTTTTTGCGGTACGCGGGCCTCTCACTGTCGTGGCCTCTCCTGTTGCGGAGCACAGGCTCCGGATGCACAGGCTCAGAGGCCATGGCTTACGGGCCCAGCCACTCCGTGGCATGTGGGATCTTCCCGGACCGGGGCACGAACCCGTGTCCCCTGCATTGGCAGGTGGACTCTCAACCACTGTGCCACCAGAGAAGTCCAAGAGGATTTTTAAGGCAATGAAAATATTCTGTAAAATATTATAATGATAGATACATGTCATTGTACCTTTGTCCAAACATATGTAAAGTACAACACTAAGAGTGAACTCTGAGGTGAACTATGAACTTTGGGTGATTATGATGCGTCAGTGTAGATTCATCCCTGCTAAAAAATGTATGAGTCTGGTAAGTGATGTTGATAATGGAAGAGCCTGAGCCTATGCATGTGTGGGAGCTTTGGGTATATGGAAATTCCTGTACCTTCCTTTCGATATTATTGTAAAACTAAAAATTCTCTAAAAATTGTCTTTAATTTTTTTAAAAAAGAAAGTTCTTCTGTGAACAAAGACCATGAATAATAAATACAAGAACTCAAGAAAGAGAAAACAAGGCAGTGAGAGGAAATGGAGTGTCAATTGGCAGATTTTAGTAAAATAGAAGAACAAATCAAAGTCATCACAGAAATATAAAAGAATTGAAAAGAGCAGTCACGAGAATAGACACTGGAGAAAACACAGCAAGGGTACTGAGGATATAAGTGAGGAGATGCAAAAAAGTAAAATAAAAATGGAAGGTTGAAAAGGACTAAGGAGAAAATGATAGGTATATAAACCAGGCAGAGAAGACCCTATATATGCATAATTGCAGTCCCTCAAGGAGAACACCAAAAACAATGGAACAGGATAAATATTTGAAAACATAACTTGAGGAAAAAAGTTGTGAAAAGGATAGAATACCTGATCCTATTTGTTGAAAGGACATATCATGTACCAGTGAAAATTGACCCAAATCAGTTAACACTGAGACATATTCTTCTGATATGTACCCAAGACATATGTCCTTAAGGCATATCATAGTAAATTTATTAGCCTTTAATGATAAAGTTTTTAAATAGCCATGTAGAATGATCACAATACTTACAAGAGGGAAAAAGTCAGACTGTCCTTAGATTTCTCCTCTGTGACACTGAACACTAGAAGTCAGTGGACCAAAACTTCTGGGATACTTAAGGAAAGAAAGTATAAATCAAGGATTTCATGTCCACCCAAGATTTTTATTAAGTATACAAAAAATATTAAATATGGCACAACTCTAGAAATACTGTTCACCTACCAGAGGCTGAGCTTCAGCCAATCAAGGGATAATAGAGAAAAATTTAGCAAAATGACTAGTGATAAGTACTATATATGATTAACAGAAATAAGACTAAACCAAATATGTGGATCAGATGACAAATCAGAGCATAAACTGTATATGCCTTGACAATTTAGAAATATACAAATAAAAATTGGGAGAGTAAGGGAGACAGTATTTTGGCACTTTCTTACAAAAATAAACATGCCGCTACCATATGTAGAATACCACAGGTACAGTATTCACTGAATACCTCATCTGTAATAATGTGGAGTCAAAGGATATTGTATAAAGTTGAAAAATCAAGCAATAGAATTCTAACTTGGTATTGTTATATAACTTAACAGTTTAAAGATGGTAATAAACCATCTTTACAATAAAACAGTAAAAAAAGATTGTTTTAAAACACAGTTTCTAAATAGCTAAAATTAGAAATGCTGAACAATTTGTAATGACAACACTGATTTTTAAGAATTGTGCATTAAAAATTGAGTAATCCTTTAAACAAAATAATGAGGTAAACATAATATTTCTCTTGAAAAGATACTCAAGATAATTTATGCTAAAACATAACCATAAGATATTACTGCACTTCTCTGTACTTTTGAGAAAATTTAGTATACTGCATGGAATCATGGATAAGTTGAAGTCTATAAACCTAAAGAAAATAATAAGTAGTACAAATAGACTTTTGATAGCCCATACACACTTTTGTGGTTGTTAAATTAGTGTCTTTTGCTTGACTTTGAATGCTTGACTTTGAGTGCTCACGTGAAAAGTAAAGGATGTACTGTCCCTTACCAAGAAGTGGATGTACCTCCATGGGTTGATGGAGAAGTCCTATCTCTCAAGGAGCAACTCCAGGGCTCTCCTTTCACTTAATTTGGTTTGCAGGAGAACTCCAGGCTCTTTGATCTCAAGGAAGCAAAAATCTATTACAGATTGTAACATGGTATACAATATATTTTGGGGGTCCCAAACACTTGTGAGAATCTGATTAAAGTGATAGGACCTTTCTCCAGGAAATGCACATGTGACATTTTGCCTATAACTGCATGGGGCCCCTGAAGCTCATCCAAAGAGACCCTCTTGGCTTATAGTCCCCAGCTTAAAGACCCTTATTTTAAAAGTTCTTTGAACTTAGGTCAGAATCTCTACTGTTGATCTGGCTGGTCAGAACCACAGTCTTATCCTTACTAAAATGAAACATTCCGGTACTACAGCAGTAGTTTGCCAAGGGGAATAATTAATCATTATGAATCCGGAAGGGCCTTTTTTTCTATTGTAAAATGACTAACATTGGAGAACATTTAGCACATGTCAAACCTACTGGTAGACACTATCACAAGGGAAGTTTCCTGGTCATTGCAGCTCAGTCATCACTTGTCCTAAAAATAGGTAGAAAGATGTTCCTGATCACTAGCTTCACTCTCTTGCATATAGCTCAGCATGGTATTGATGCTGAAGTGAGCATATCCAGGATGTCTGACTAGTAGGCAGACACCACACAACAATTAAGAATTCAGTCACCCCTATGGCAGGTAGGCAGGACTGAGTCCTGTATTCCTTCCTTAGCCAGAGATTAGAATATGCTTTGAGAATGAGCATTGTCCGACATAGTTTTCTCTGTGGATATTGTGTTCAGTTTGGAGAACAGGGAGCAATTCTGCCCAGCAGATTTTCACTGTTGTGCTTTTTTGAGAGGTGATGTTATAGGTACCCAAGGTAAACATAGGTCAAGGTTTACAGATTCAAGTCATTCCTTTAATTGTATCAAGAAAGGCAGATAATCTTGATCTCAAACTTGAACCAGCTCCTCAGATTACTTCATTTAAATCTGGGTGCATCTCTTTCTGTACTGTTGACTTACACTGTAGCTCCTCTTTGTGATTTTCTTTATCTTCATCTGAAGTGAAACCCT